CAATAAATCAACAGCTGACAGCAGCCTTGAGCACCAACTAACAATAACATGACCTACTAACATAAAATAAGCCTTGACATTCGAGGTCTTTGGGGAAAGATTTATGGTTTTAACCTAATAACTGTCCTTCATGATATAGTATTTCCAGTTACAATCATCATGAAGTTTTCTTTCAGTTACAAATCTAAATCCTGATTTACTCCTTCAAATGTCTGGCAACTGTCCATTGATCACAGTGGATGCCAGGGTGATAGCTGTCTGAAATCACAGGATACATAAGGCACACTAAAAAGCTGCTTAAAGGTATCTTCCAACAATAACCCTTACAATTACACAACAGAGGATCTCCACTATCTCTAAACAAAGCACACTACATGTATACAGTCATAAGAAGACTGAGCACATGCACCTCTTCTTGCACTAAAGAAGTGTTTGCTTTGTCCCTGAATGGGGTAAAAATGGTGGAAATTAGTTACAGCTTCTAGAAAAGACAGTTCCACTGGGGGAAAAGTAATAATAATAATAATAATAATAATAATAATAATAATAATAATAATCACATTGTAGATTTTGAAAACTCACCAAAATATAGATATATACAGTGAATAATCCCAACTCTTGTTTGTTTAAGGTCTCTAGAAAACAATACATGCTAGCTGTTATGCTCACAGCAAAACTTTGCAAAGGCACAGCTCTCACCTAACTCAGTTCTGCTGTTCTTTGATACGATGGGGAGGAAGGGAGGGCAGGTGATGAAAAGTTTTCACAGCCTTCAGTCTTAGTCTTTTCTAATAGAAAGTTTAAAATAAAATTTGGACCAGCTCCTTGTCTGCCTTTAGTCCGCATGGCTTTATCAACTTTAACGGAGTTCTGCCAAGTTAGGGCGGCAAAAGAGCTGACCTTTGACTTCCCAGAAGACTCCTATTTTCCACAGCAGTTTTCTTTCGAATCTTTCAGCTAAAATGACAGATATATATGAGAGATGTCTATAAAGACAGCAAAAATGTCTCTTTTCTAAGCACTTCAGGCCATTTACAGGCAACTGTCAAGCACAAAGTGAAAATCACCATCACTTCCCCCACAGAAATCATCCTTGTAGTGAAAAAAGGATTTACCAAATCCCACAGATTGTTTTTACCAGCTATCATGCCCTGGCTTTTCTTTCCCTCTCTTGCAGGTCCCTTAAGGGACACTGCTGTGTGCCTATTTATTTACAACAAGGCACATTTTCTTACTTCCCTGAAGGCATGAAGTTCTCCTGTGGAGAAAGTGTTAGCCAAGAGCCTGTCTCCTGGAGCTTTCTGCTACAGTACATAGTTAAAGGTACTCCAGTAAACCAAACCTATTATCACAAGTGTGGATATCAAGGTACCTTTTATTGGTACGTCATTTAATACTTCCCTGCAAATGGCAAGTTGGAGTACAAAATTATTTAGCAGAGCCCTGCTGAAAAGGCCTTGGGGTACTGGAGGATGGCAAGCTGGCTGTGAGCCAGCAAGGTACCCTTGTAGCCCAGAAAGCCGACTGCATCTTGAGCTGTATCTAAAGCAGCATGGCCAGCAAGGTGAGTGAGGTGATCCTGCCCCTCTACTCCATGTTGGTGAGACCTCAGTTAGAGCACTGCATCCAGATGTGGAGTCCTCAGTACAGGAGAGACACAGAGCTGTTGGAGCACATCCAGAGGGGAGCCACAAATATGATATAAGGGATGGAACACTTCGACTATGAGCTGAGAGAGCTGGGGCTGTGCAGCCTAGAGAGAGAAGGCTCCAGGGAGACCTGATAGAGACCTTCCAGTATCTAAAGGGAGGCTATATTAAAGAAGGGGACACAACACCTTAGCAGGGTTTGTCATGACAGGACAGGACAAGGGAAATGGTTTCAAACTGAGTGGAGGTTTAGATTGGATACATGGAAGAAGATTTTTTCTTACAATAAGGGTGGTGAGGTGCTGGAAGAGGCTGCTCAGAGAGGTGGTGGATACCTCAAGCCTGGAGACATTCAACCTGAGCAACCTGATCTAGCTGTAGATGTCCCTGTTCACTGCAAAGGAGTTGGATTAGATGACCTTTAAAGGTCACTTTCAACTCAAATGATACTATGATAAAAATCCAGTAGGATGGCCAAGAGCTGACAGTAAGAGTTAAAGCGTTGTTACTCCCAGTGCTGCCTAGATGGGCATCCATTCTGTGCATCTGCCTGGGAGGGATGCAAAGTGCCTCCCACTGTTTTCTCTCTCTGGGCAAGAGGAAGACACAGACTGTACTAAATCATCAAAAATAAAGAAGGATGCTCATACAGAAGAGAGGTTAATGGACAATGAACACCTGTTAACACCGTAATTTAGGCGGGAACCAGTCTGCAAATCTTACTGTTCAGAAGAACTGAGGATGTTGTTTTGGACTGCAGGAAACCTGGTCACTTCAAAATGACAGAAATGGAGAAATAAAGCAAAAAGGAGTAAACAGTAACTGGAAGAGCGTTTAGAAAAAGCTTTTCAATGATTTGTACTCACAAAGAACAAGAATCGGAGGAAGAGAGCTGTTTGATGAAGGCCTTGAACAATAGCAAGAAAAGAAAAACAAACCCTAGAGAACAAACTGAACAACAGTTAAAACATAGGATAGTGGTGTCATGCTGTAACTACTTTACTCTGTATAGCTGGTTTCCTCACAACACCAAACCATTATTGTAGAAATGTTAAAATTCAGCTTAAAGATGACAGATGAGCACCAACACACCAAAACACAAGTTGACTTGAACTGCATGATTGCAATTGAAACTCCAGCCCTCAGCACAGAAACTTGTATCAATCTGTGGCAAAGGGAATCTTGAGAAAAACAGTAGCAAAAGGATTGTTTTCAGTTTATTATATGTGCAACTGGAAGCTCGTTAAGCACCTCGCTTTCTGTGAGCAGCATATGGCTGCAAGGAAGGCTGAAGTCAGCAGAATCTGTGTGATTAACAGCTCTTCCAGTCTGGCAACGCACTGGTACGAACAGAGACAGAAGCAGGCAGAATGATAGCATCCCTCATTTTAAAGAGGATTCCATTTCAGGTAGATTTGTGGGGCTTTTTTTTCTCCAGTCACAGATGCTATGGCAAGTACAGGCATTGTGTTAAACGCACTGAAAAAGGCTTGTCTGTACTTTGACAATGTCAGGCTTGAACTGATGTTTGAGCTATAGTAGCTCCCCACACTTCAATACCAGTCTTTAAGTACTTCTACCCTGAGCACAAAAGCGTCCTCTCAGTTCTCAGCATTCAGGTTTACACATCTATCACACTCCACTTTCCCTTTGGCAGCTCACACGGGAGGCTCCTCAACATAAGCACTTCCTTCCATTTCTGCCCGAGCAGTACCACGGGGCTTAAAACAAAACACCGGAACAAAACTTCCTGACAACGTAATAACATTTTTCCCATTACGCTCACTAAGTTCACGCAAAGAAGCGTCCGTCAGGGCAGCACAGAGCCCAGCCACCCTCGTACAGGTCCGTCAGCTCAGCACAACCAGTCCTACCTGTTCTCAGCCCCACCGCCCCAGAGGATGTGGAAACCCCCCCTCTGCAGTACAACCAGCCGTCAGAGAGCAGGCAGAGGTAAAGCCAGTCGCAAGCCACCAGCCAGCCACGCTGGGAAGATGAGCGCGCCTCTCCGTACGCATCGCTACCTGCGAGGGCTGCCGCGCTGCGCTCCCTCACCAGCCCGCGTCCCTCGGCCGCCTCTGCGGGACGGACGCGCTTTTATGGCCCCGGCTCGCCTGGCCCCTTCCCACGCCCCCGGGCCAGCCCAGTCGCCGGGCCAAGGGCCAAGTTACGCGCGGTGCCTTCCGCCCGGGCCCACATAGCGGGCGAGGAACGGCAAGAGGACATCCTCGGCGCGTTCCTCTCAGCGGAGCCCAACGTCACGCGAGCAGGGAGACGGGCGCACGCTCTCCCGAAACGCCGAGGGCGCTCCGCGACGGGCACCGGAGTGACGGGCACCTGCCGCGGACACCGCCGCGTGCGCGCAGCGGAAGCCAGCGGACGTCTGCACGCCGACGGGCATCTGCGAGGGACGGCGCGGGCGCGGAGCCGTCTCGTGCCGAGCGCCGCGGGGAGCCCCGCGTTGCCCCGTCCAGGCGGGGCGCGATGCAGGACACCCCGCGCGAGGCCCCCCACCCGGCTCCCCGCCGCGGCCCCGCCTCACCCCGGACCGGCGGCGCCTCCGCTCGGGGCCCCCCGGCCCGGGCCCCCGGCGCCGTCCTCGGTTACCTGCGCGGCGGGGGCAGGAGCCACCCCCGGGAGCGCCGGGGCAGCCCCGCATCCCCAGCGCGGCGGGGCGGGGCGCGGCCGCGGCCGGTGCCAGCCCGAACCGGTTGTAACTTGGCGGGGGGAGGAGCCGCCGGGGGCCGCCGCCACCGCCTCCTCTCGAGGCTGCGGGTGGGGGGGGATTGCCCGGCCCCACGGGCCCCGAGCGACCCCTTCGGGCGAGAGCCCCGCTCGCCTCCGCCGCGGCCCCGGCCCTCCTCCGAGTTCTGGGCGGTCCCCGGCCCCACCGCCTCCTCCCGCCGGCAAGTATCGCTGCCTCCCCCATTTTTATTGACGCGTCTGTGGCGAAGCCTCGCAGGCACGACCGCCGCTTCTCTCGCTTTTAACGCGCCCGGGTGCACGCAGCAGCCTCCCCGTGGAGAAGGGGATCGCGGCCGCGCCGCTTGGTGACCGCAGGCGCTTCCTTGCGGCATCACGGCCGGCCCCGAGCTCCCCCCCGTTCGGCGCGCTGCGGCTTTCCCTCCACGGTCTGCGACACCCGCCGCAGAAGCCGCCCGACACCGCGGCCCGTGTGACAGCCGTGCCGCTGCCCCGCCAGGCCGGCACTAGCGTCCGCATCCGCATCAGCTGCAGCTGGGAATAGAAATATTCCCAGACGAGTGGCTGCTGACGTTCTGAAGCAATTTAAAACGTGCACAGCCCCCGCAGCAGTGACAGGCATGGCAGAACTCCTTTTTGGTATCAGCAGTCCAGACTGACTCCTCCATACACACTTTGTAAAGGTCTATGAACTTCAGCGGTTTCTTAAGGTGCTTAAATCTACCTCAGAGTGTTCAAGAAAATAAAGAAACACTGCCAGGAGTGACAGATGTATGATATGAACTCCAGCCTCATTTCTGAGACAGTGCTGTAGTGCAAAAGGCTCTGTCTGTGAACTTCACAGCAGAAAGAGCAGCCCACAACACAAAAAGAACCATCAGGGCTCTAGAAAACTGGTGATGGGAGAAAACTACATGGGGTTTAACCTAAAGAGAAGGAGAGCAGAATGATACATAACATTCTTCCAGAAAATAAAACAAGTCACGGCAAAGAAAAAGGAACAAACTTATACTAGCCATAACCAAGAGGTCAGTGAGCTTCAGTTCCATCAGAGAATTTTGCGCTACATATTAGGAAAAGTAAGGTTAGTGTGGCATTGGCAGAGATTTCCCTGGGAGAGCGTGGCATTTCGCAAACACACGCACTGGGTTGCCTAAGTGAGAAGTGACTGAAGACAGCTGCCCAGCCAGCACAGTCTCCATTTACTTCAGTCATTCCTTGGGCTCCATGACAGCTGAAACGGAAAGGCCACTTGAAATTTTACTGTAGCCACACGAGGAGCAGCTGGAAAATAACAATTCTGAAATGACCATTCAAGTCGTGCTGTTTCCTATACGTAATAGAAAACTAACAACTTTGATAAAACTCATTTTTTTCCACATAAGTGTACAGATGCCCCAGTTCCCATTACGGCACTTGACAGAAGTGTTTTGCTTTTTGAATTCTGCAAAAGCTTAGAAAACAATGCTACAGGCTAAAATTAAACACAAAACATTTCAGTCTACCAAAATTGGTTATAAGCATCAGAAAAAAAGGGTGAGGAAGAATGTGTATTCTCAAGTAGATCTGCACAGAAGAAGCTAAAAGTTAGTTGTGGCTTATCTATACAGGAACATTCAAAGGAGTTGTGTATCAGTCACAGCATACATTAAAATAACCTGGCTCTTTCTGCAGAGGAAGTGGTCCAAGGCATATGCAATTCAACCTCAGATCACAAGCAGCTTTGGACCTAAATGAGAAACCTCACTTCAGAAATAAAATGCATTTTATGTGAGTGCATATTGATCCTAGTTGCTTTACCTTAACTCCTTTGGATGCCCTCCTATTGAGAAGTCCTCTGCTTTAAATTTAACTCTGCCTTTCATATGAACAAGCCAGTCACGCACATATCATAATTGTGAGAGGGCAGCCTTGCTAGTAAAAAACAGTCCTATGAAAATGAGCCATAGAAACCAAAGCCCTCCTCCACGTCTGCTTCATCCTTGGTTTTGCAACAAGCAACACATCTCCCTCCAATTCCAGGTTTTTGCTCACGTCTACAGTGCTTTGGCAGCTGCCACTTGGCTTAGTTCTCAAATCAGTGATAAATCTCATTTCTTCACATCAGAAACCCTTCCTAAAGGGCCTTCAAAGGCAAGCAAATTGTAACAGTGCCACAGCTGCATCTTTAATAGTTACGCTTTTGACCTATACATCACCAGAAGAATTCTCAATCTTCTGCTGCAAAATAGAAAACAAAGGGAAGTACAAATAAAGCCTATAGCAGCCCTCCCCAGCCTTAGGGCTTAGGAATCCAAAGGGCAAAGATACTCATGAAACATGGCCAGACATGAGACCAACACTTAGTTAAAAAATTACCTTATTTTGGTCTAGAATGATCTCGGGGTGTGCAATTCTAGGTCACAGCTGTATGGGTGTACAGATAGATGATCTGCTCTGCAGGTGGTGTAGCAGTGGCAGCTCCTGAGGGCATAGAGAAGTGTAGAGTGCATCCATAAAGCCCCCTGGAAGGAGTACTTGTCAGGCACTGAATGCAGCTGGTGTGCTGAATAACCCAAAGGAATTACTTCCTCAGTTTAAAGTGGTGGTTTTTCTTTGCTGTTGTTTTATTATCAGAAGGTACAAAATCTGCTATGGAGGAAAACCTCGAAACACAGAACTGTTCCACATAATAGACCTACTACTGTCCTCTAACCTGTGGTCCAGACTGAGAAGCACCCTTTTGTACACTTGCAGTCTTTACAAGATCTCTCTGTTGGTGAACTAACTCTAGAAGTACAAATTCAAACTAGTAAGTCCGAAGTTCGTCATCTGCTTGGGTGTTTTAACTTACTTGTAGGAAACGTTCATTAATGATTGAAGGGAAAAAAGGTGAGGAAAGCAATCAGTATAATTTACGTGGATGTATTAAACATCTGTGTTTAAAGTCACAGAGTCTAAAGGACAGTCATATGTTATAATTTAACCTTTCATGTGAGAGGCAGAAAAAACAAAGCTGCTGGACCACGTTAAACAGGATCTTTATACTTCTTTAAGATTTGAGTGAAAGGGAGCAAGATTGCTTAAGCTGCAAAGAACTCTGATTTCCCCCCAGATGCCCAAAGGGTACTGCAATAGTCCCTAGTGCCATCGGGGCTGCGCTGACAGGGAACTCAGCATGCAGGAGTCCCAGGAGTACCAGGTCCAGCAGCAGAAACACTTCATCTGCCTTGCCAACATGCAGCACAATGAACCCACACTGTGGTCTTCTGAAAGGTCCTGAAAGATGGACCAGCCCTGAAGCAGGTGTTCAGAATATTGCCAGGCTAATTGCTGTCTGGCAGACTGTGTACTTCGAAATGCTGATAAAGAAAGTCTCCTAAGTTAATCTTCAAAAATACGTGTACCAGATAAATGCCATTTTTGAACATGCAAAACTTGTAACAAAAAATAAGTAGTAGACATTTAATTTGAAAAATGCAATCTATGATCACCTTTGTAGCTTTTGCATTACTGTATATTTTTTTTAGGTTCTCACACTAATCATTTAAGTGATAAGGCCATGGAAAAATTATAGGAAAATGTTGCCTGAAACAACAACAACAACAACAAAAATTTTATCTTGTTCTTCATTTAAATATTTTTGCTATGCAATGCATTCCACTACTGTAGTCACAAGGACTGTCTTCTGAAGATTTCACAACTACATGTGCTTAATAGGTTTTTTGTAATAAACTAGGGAACTATCACAACTTTTCCATAGCGTAATTTTACTAATCGACCAGTGTCTATTCATTCTCTATGCTGATAAACAAACTATTTGGGTTCCCAAATTAATTATATTGTATGTATTAGAACATTAAGAAAAAAATCACAGTAACTTAAGGCATTTTTTAAAAAAATTATCTTTCAACAAAAATGCAATAGTATACATGAAATGATAAATAACTGCTGGTAGCATGAAGAACATTTACTAACTGTGTAAAATGGAAATAAAATGACAGTACTATATCTTCAAGCAAAGAAATATTCCTTCCTTTTCTCAGAGCATTCACTTTTACTGAACACAAAGGATGTATTTATTATGGCATAGGCCTTTCATGACCTCTGTGTTAGCCATAAATTCAGTGAGATCAATGCCAGCATACATCACAGGTGTATGGAGATTTTCTGATTTTCAACTGTCTTCTCTTACTGCACTACTCTCATGAACCATCCCCCACAGCAAAACAAAACTTAAGTAAGACCAGGATAACTCAGATCTGTCTTAGGGAAAAGATTCAATTTCCTCTATAAATTGGAAAAGGGTCTCTTATGGGAGAGAGGCAAGAATCACAGCCACCCCACTTGGGAACAGAACTCATACATACAAGTACAGTTACATGAGAGACCCAGATGTCAGTGAAAATATCTCTATGTTAAAAAAAGAAAAAAAAAATCATAATATACAAATAATCAATCCGCTTTCATAAAAAATAGCATTCACAAGGAAATACAATCTATTTCCCATTTCTGAACACTGCACCTCTTCCTGAACTGTTGTACATATATGAATACGGCATCTGAATAGTTTACTTACCTATGGGAAGGTGGACTGGCTTACACGACATTGACTTTTTTGTTTTCCATCACAAATATCAGACCTTTTTTCATCCACTGCTGAAAGTAAAAATCTGTTATATAGAAAATAAAAGAACCAGGTCTTTATTATTTCTGAAAAGCAGAGTTAACTTTACAAAGCAAGTACCAGAACATCCCCTCTGGTGCCATGCTACAAATCCAGGGCTGACTACTGCAATAATCAGAGCCATGACACAGGACATGATGAGGTGGCAAAAATGCATTAGAGAAGGTCCTTTAAGAAAACAATGACACCTTTGTTACACAGAACTATCTCCAGCATCTGCTTGTCAAGCGTATGACATGGATAGGGCTGTTACCAACCACATCACGTGCCTGATGACTTCCCAGTGGGACTCAGTGTACAATCTGTGTCAATTGATTGCTCTAGAAATGCTCAGGTACTCTCCAGGGGGTAGCTGTTAGTCATTGTTAAGACTATTTAGAATTTCAGAATGGCTTGGTTTGGAAGAGATCTTGAAGATCATCCAATTTCAAACACCCTGCCATGGGCAGGGTTGGCACCCACTCAATGAGGCTGCCCAGAGCCCCATCCAACCCAGCCTTGAATGCCTCCAGGGATGGGGCATCCACAGCTTCTCTGGGCAGCCTGTGCCAGTGCCTCACCACCCTCCGAGTAAAGAGTTTCTTCCTAATATCTAACCCAAATTTTCCCTGTTACAGCTTAAAGTCATTCTCCCTTGTTCTATCACTATCAGACCATACAAAAAAGACAGCCCCCTCCTGCTTATAAGCTCCCTTCAGGTAGTGGAAGTTGGCAGTGAGGTTTCGCCTGGAACCTCTTCACCAAGATAAACAAGCCCAACTCCCTCAGCCTTTATTCCTAAGAGAGGTGCTTCAGCCCGAGCATTTGTGGCCCTCCTCTGGACCCACTCCAACAACTCTACACCTTTCTTGTGCTGGGGGTCCCAGGTCTAGATGTAGTACTCCAGATGCAGTCTCAGAAAGGCAGGGTAGAGGGAGACAATCACCTCCCTTACTCTGCTGGCCATCCATCTTTCAATGAAACCTCTGTCAGAACAGTCCAAGGAGATGACTTCACCTGCATAGCAGAAATAATGACCATCTTAGCATACTACAAAGGAAGTATTTTTGTCAAGGTAGTCATAAGGCATGGCACGGATACTGGAGGAAGCCCCTCAGAAAGAGGGTTTGCTTATTTCTTAATGAAAATTAATCTACTTGCCATTACCACATGCTGAAATGTAATGGCATCCATCGATCACGGCAAGAAGGATGATGTATTTGTCTCTCTGCAGACAACACACACACACTTTTCATCTTGCTAGAGTATTAAGTTAATAGAGTTGGTAGCTTTTCCCTCACTTAGTTAACCACATTAAAATACTGAGGAAGGCATTTATATTCTGTCAACAAAATTGAGAGGTTAATAGGAGCAGTACGAAACAGCTAGTGACCTAAATTCATCTCAATGCAATCTCATGACTTCAATGTTGTCATTTTTTTTTCCTTGCCAGCTAAGTTGTAGCCTCATTTCCTATATTGTTCTCAGCCTAATCTTGCGTTGTCACAGAGGCAGAGATTTCAAATTACACTGCATTTTTGTAGTCATGCTTACAGTTTGTTACATAGCATGTTCTAAAGCAAGTCACAATTTATCTCTAAATACCCGTGAAGTGTCCCCAAAGGCGTGTGTATTTTAACTTTGTATTGCCAACACAAACTCAGTGGAAGGATGAAAAGGAAAGGAAGGTTCCACAATGGAAGAGGTTTATTTTAAACTTATGTTAAGCTGCCACCAGGCCTGTCTAAATATAGATTTGTCTACAGTAAACACCCTTAGTCTGCATTTAGTGCAGACATGCAGAGTTCTTCAGGAACAGCAAGGAGGCTTTGCATTCACACCCAGGTCCAAGATAATCATAACCGATGTCCAATGAAAGTTTGTAAGCATGTTTTTGTATGTAGGGAGGAACAATAACCAAGAAAAGCTTACCTCTACTGTTGGCCTTGTGCCTTTATCATCTGAGCTTTGGGAAGCTCCATGAAGGCTCTCGAGATGCTCACCAAGGGGCTTCAGCTTTCAAGACCAGTTCTTCAAGTCAGCTCAGTTTGCAAAGAACAGGTAAGTGGGGTCTGTGCAGACACGTTCCTTGAGCTTCTGCAGTGGCTTGCACGTCCCCAGGCAGGAGGCAGCTTGTGCTGGACACGTGTTGGTCCTGGCTCTGCCCAGTCAGAAATCCTGCCACTTCTGCCTGAGGTTCCTGCTAACTCCTACCTCCTGTCCTCCACTTGCTAATACTTGCTTTAGCTCTGGCTTGCTAATTCTTGTATTCAGCTACATATTCAACTATACTGAAATCATCTATATCAAGTACCAGCAAGTAGCCACATCTGTGAAGAGCTTGGACAACGTACTGTCACTAAATTAGCTTAAAAGTTATTTGCTCTGACAACTACAGTGTAAACATAACTGGTTCCACCACAGTACTGATACTCTCTCCAAGCTTGCATTAACTGTACAGCAGTGACTGTGAAGAGAATTGGAAACCTCTGTGTGTTTTCTTGATCAGAGCCAATCATTTTATTCATAGAATACCTTTCTAAGTAGAAAAGGTACAAATGTGAACAAGCATATTTTCACTGAAACAGCCTAGAGACTCCTTTGTACTCTGTAAATCAGGCATAAATGTGTAACTACATTTATGATAAACTTCATTTGACTTTTCAGCTTTGCTACTGGACTACTAGATCAGGACTGATTTGCAGGCTGTATTTTAGCAGACTAGCAGATCTGCCAAGATTGAGTACTGTGCTGTTGTGCTGACTCAGAGACAGAGCTGTGCAGTGTCAGCACCTGGGATGGCTCCAGACCTCAATGTAATATGAGCGTTCAGCTCTGAGGTGCATCACCTACCAATGAAATCACGTAACGAGATCTATCTTTGAAACCTTCACAATCTGGTTTGAGGTAGAATATTTCAACTTGTCCAACAACTAGTGAAACAAGTAGACAAAGTAGAAAACAAAACTGTCATTAGCACATATGCATGTTGCATACTCAATTCTGTCCTGAAAACAAGCTGATGAAGGTTTTTGCTTTGCAGCAGCTACCAACGCAACATATCCACAGAACGAGTTCTGACCAGATCTGTACAATACTCCTCTCTCACAAATAACACTCCTTATATAACATCACCTGGCCAGTACAACTTCAGTCTTACGGACCACCTGCTGCCCCTGCAAATCAAGCAGCAAATGCAACAAGAATCATGTGGGAGTACCAGTATCATTTAAATTAACAGCTCTCCAGAATGCATCAATGTTCAGGAACAGTCATTCATTTTGAGGGAGGAAGGAAAAACATTCTTCATAGCACCTGAGTTTTCAACAGCTGGTGTTAACACTTATCCTTATCTCACAAGGAATGATCCTAAGACTTATTGGTGTCACAGGCCAAAAAAAAGAGATGTGTGTGAGGAAAAAGAAAACACCCCCTCTAGGAATATGAAAGGCAAATACGGTGCTTTGGTATCCTTTAAGCTATAAAATCTCTGCACTCAGAGGATGAAACAAGCTGTGGAATATGCATATCAGCAAGGCAAAGGTAAATCTTCTGGCAGTGCACTTCAGATTAGGCAATGCCAAAGCAGAAGCTTTCCACCTTGAAAGTGAGATTAGGAGGGGCAGACAGAAAGACCAGCTCACTGATGCCAGTCTCAGAAAATCCAGTGCCATTATATACGTAAAGAGAGTTCCAAATGACTGATTTCAGTGTCATTCAGACACTGCTCAACAGAGAACTGAAATACACTCCTGTAAATATAAATGGATTTTGCCTCGGTAATTTCATAACATTTTGACATACAGTCTACATTCATTTGCAGGATTTCTGGCTTTGATCTTCTTATGATAGATGTTAAGATCTGATAAGCTTTTGTCCAAAAAGTTACACGTGAGTCATGATCTAATTTTTAAGACACAGCCTGAAGTCTCTACCTTGAATTCACAACATTTTGGAGCAAATTTGTTTTTCCCCAAAGCAAAAGCATGCATTTAATACACACACAAAAAAAGACCACTTTCAGAGGAAAGCTTCTTGAAAGGGTTGCACTGCCAAGTGTGCAACAGGAAACAGAATCCCACCTTGAAGTGCACAACACATGCTTGTAACAGTGCCATGAGACTGAGGGCTAAGCCATGGTTCTGCAGGGGCGTGCATTTTGGGGATAATTCAAGCAGGCTTTTAAAGATCTTCTAAAGCATTAAAAAGCCCATCTGTTCTTATCTGTTCCTCATCCTCAGAATGCGAATCTCTGTAACCATACTTAGTCCGTACAGACCTTGCTGATTTGCTCTGTAAATTGTTTTTAAATTGTTTTAATTCGTGTCATATAATATTAAAAAAAACTCCTCATATACTTCATGCATTTGAGCAATACTTTCTAAGGAAACTGTTAATGTGCACTGAAATAAGTACACAGTTATCCAGTTTTTTTACACTGTTGATTCAGCTAGCAGATAACACACACAGAAATGGGCACAGGAAGAATGTTACAATCCCATATTAAATCGTACATGCATTTGCTTATCATGGAGCCCAGGGAAAGATTATTCCATACCAATCGAGGCACACAGTAATAAACTACAAGAATTTCTATTTTCAAATATCCAGTATTTATCAGTGCCATAAGTAATGAGGAATTGCCTTATCTTTTTCACGACATTTAATTAGCGTTGACTGGTGGTATCACCGTGAAAGAACTTTGAAGAAACTCAAGTTTTAGTACATCACTCTACAAGCAAGCCTTAACTTACGTTAGGTATGTGACATATAGAGCAGCCAGAAAAAGTATCATCAGATTACCACAACAAACAGGTGTTTTGAATGAGTATTGGTTAGAAAATTTGAGCTTAGAGTAAACTGTTCAGCTTCTTCTCTCTACTGGTGAGTCTCATCTTAGAGTAAGGTTATTTCTCCATTGGTTTATGTGACCTATTTTTAGTTACTGAGAAGGTCCTCAGAAGAGCCACAAGTATCTGCAAGGATATTAAAGGGATTTGAGAGGCAAAAACCCCCATTCACTTGTGGAGGGAAAAGGCTATTCTTGTTTGGATATACTTATGTATTTTGGAAATATTTGAGACACAAAGGAAAGTTTATTTTAAAAATCTCTACATAGGCTTAGAATTTATTTTTAACATAGCATTCCCACACAGTTAATGTTCATGAACTGACACGTTACTTCTTCCACTTTCCTCTGCACTGAATAATCATTAAAAGAAGTATCTATGGTTACAGTTAGCCCAAAAGTTCAATTGACATTGACTTAATATGTAATTAGATTGCATCTTAAGTACAGGTCTTCACACAAAATGCCATTGCTTCATATTGCAGTTTATTCTTTTTTTTTTTTTTTTTTTTTAAACAAACACCAGTGCAAACACAATCTCAGAGCAGATCTACCCCAGTCAAAAGACTTAAAGTAAAACAGGAGAAGAAATATGAATTTAAAACTTGAGTAAGCGGACAGCGAATTAAGCCTGCAATCCCAGAACATTGTTATTTTTTTAAAAGGGAAGTTTTTTGCCTCAGGGTAGGCTGACAAACCACCTTAACTTTCTCCAGTTCAGAGATGGAAATCATCCTTCACAGCTTCCATTACCTGTTTTTGATGTCCTGCAGTAATTACACAACTGCTCTGGAAAGCAAAAAGGAGCTACGGGATCCTTGCCTCTGAGTAGAACACTTGGGAAGGGGCTAAGAAAAAAGTTTTTGCTGATCCATTGCTCTTCACTGAGACCTCCCCCAACCTAACCCTAAGGCTGGGATGGGAAAGCAGAAGAGAGCATGTTAGGTTTTTATTGCTTGTTCTACTTTTGGGGATTGGCTGTGGAGGAAGAAAGTAAACCCTGATTATCACGAGGGCAACTTTAGTATCAGTGGACAGATAAGGAGAAAGCAGCATGTTGGCCCCTTTTGCCCCACAGGAATGATGTTGCCGTGCCTTTCGCTGAAATCTGAGATCTGAACCCGGGAGGAAGCGCTCAGTTTAGAAATCACCGTGAATTTTTCAGGAAGGTGTAGAAGACTCCAAAGTTAATTTTGAAATCTGCTGATCCATTTGGAATTTGCAACCAAACTCAGTTCTCATTTCTACTTGTCTAGCTCCCAAGCTATTTTACAACTGCTATTTCACCAGTATGAACAACAGCTGACCCCCAATATCTAGGTAAGTCCTAATTTCTGCTATCAATAAATCCTAGTATTTTGGGAATCAAAGATTCACTGATGTCTGCTCAATTACATCTAAAAAGATTCCTTGCCATAATACATTTAAATAATATCAGGTAGGTGACAGTGCTGTAAAATAAGCAAACCACTACAAACTCCTTCCCAGAACAGTTTATTAAGAAGGAATCTGGAAGACAAGGAGAAAACAGAAAAATGAGAGCACTGAAGTTGTTCTGTCAGCAGCTAATGGGGCTACTATGAAATGACAGTTAAGTTTGGCAGTTTCAGTATCATTTATAAGAAAAAAATCACTGAAACACAGTTCTGCAGTAGTAAAAGGAAGCTGCCTCAGCAAGTATAGGAGACTGCTAAAAGGCAGTATGGACAAAAGATTCAGACCTGCATGAGAAGCAAGCAGCAAAAGATCAAAGAAGAAAAGGGCAAATAAACCTGGTAGCATGTTAAAAAAAAAAAACAAAAGAACAAACTTCTAAAGAAGTGAAACTTGTAGCCTGACAGACTCTCAGTCATGATCAGTTCAATCAGTGCACTGTTTATCCAGCACTTCACAGCTTTTCCCAGCATACTTACAGTAAATTGTATCACTATCATCAGACATCCTGTCTAGCCAAATACTGGGAATCTTTGGGAAATTACTTTCCTTTCATTTTTAAAAATATATAACCTGGGAAAATGGAGATGCCTTGTTTGACTTGACACATCCTGAAACTAAGAATATGTTTCAGAGTAAGAATATTATTCAGAATATTTCAATAGTGAAATGGAAATACTTAAGGAAAAACAAAACAGAACAAAACAAAATAAACACAAAAAATCCACAACTATTAATTCCAGCAAAAAGGTCAATTTCCTCTTCAAAAACGAGCTGGATTCCCCACTCGCTGGGTTTTTAACCAGTGTAAAGGAACTTACTCTGTTCACGTTGTGCCCTGTCCTCCCGTTATCCATCTGGCACACTCAAACTGCTGTCACGCATTACTCACAGCGGTTTGTTTCATTATTCAGATAACTTTCTGTAAAATGGTGGGTAGATAAGTTAAGCTGTTATACATTAAAACAGAAACTGAAAACCTAAAACTTTCCTTGCCCGACAGTCTTGCCCTGGAAGCAGCAGTCTGTGTTGCATGTCAGAAGTGTAAAAACCTGTCAGGGATTCTTGCTCTCAGCTTATGTGGGAGGTGAAATCACAGAAGCCAATTACTTTCCTTCTGTTTTCCTTGCTCTTTTTTTTCCATACCTCTTCCCTCCCCCCATTCTTCGCAAAGATAGGAACAAGCCAGAACCAGACAGACTGCAGTGAGGGCTCCAGCTCACATGCTGGCTGTGCTAAAGCTATGATACAGTGTTGAATCTGAAATGGGCTTTGTTTTGTCTTCCTGCTACAGATCAGGCAGATGCATAGAACTAGGAGAGGTGGTAAAACTGGAAGGACATTAATAATATTTCTAGCCACGTTCATATAAGCACGGATGTTTGGACTCGATGATCTCTTGAGGTCCCTTCCAATTCCTGTGATCCTGTGATCTCTTTCTAGAAAAACAAACCAAACCCACCAAACACATGCATTAAACTCCAGACGAGCTAAGAATGGTGACTGTTCTCAAGAGACCACGTGTTTACAAGAATCTAGGTAAGATTTGGGTTGAAATTACAGTTAATACGGATTTAGTGCAAAGTGCTCTCCTTTCAATTAGGTGGGTTTCTACAACATACGATAAACATAAAAGTCAAAGCTTTACTCTGTAGTTTTGACTCTCACAAACCATCCATCCAATGCACTGACACTTGAATCAGGGAGATTCAAGGAAAAGGGCATCACATTCCCAGAGCATCTTTGGGAAGCTATTGGGGTATTTCAGCCAAAAAATAGGTTTTGCTCTGCACTTAACTCAGAAATTAACTTCAGTTACACAGAGCCAATACTCATACACTTAAAAATAAGAGACACTTCAGTCTACACACAAGGTTTTAAAAGAAACGTCATGACTTTTCACAATATGAAATAGTTTATTTCAGAACCCTTAACTTTGGAATCCTTTACTACCTCTAGGAACTAACTGCATTAATAAAGTCCTTCATTAAACAGTCAAGACAACAGTCATACTAAACCTAGAGCTCCGTAATAGCGTGAAGAATGTAGTAACATTTAACAGGATTAATTCCTTAATACGTTGTCATGGCTAACATTTATTTTGGAAATAATTTAAATAAAACTTATGATATTTATGATTCACTAAATTTGCTGTAAGTTCTCTGTGCAGGACCAGCAAATAGATTACTCAACAGTTACATACAAATATGTTTGGATAAGTGACAGTACTCAAGGATGTATTATAAGACTTTATTCTAACCACTCATGCACAGAAATTCATATCTAAATAGTTTCAGTGAACATTAAGATGTTGCTGATATACAACACTGCAGATGTGGATTAAACACTTCAAGGCCCTAAACACAGTTGGCAACATCCAGATGTTCTGTGAGATCCCTGTAATTTCCTCAACTCATCTCTACTGTGAGAAGTACCTGCGCTGTTTAGATCAGAACCACTAGTCATGAGCTTCTGCCTTGTTGAAAGAACAGAGATGATCACACAACATGCATTTGAGACTATCACAGACCACTGTTCGGGTTTCATTAAATTCATGACAGATTCTGTTTAAAATACCTGATGTCCAGCTTTTACTCTTATTTCTAAATAATCTTTTACTCTATGTCACTCAAAGGAAAAAAAAAACAACCGTTTGCCAGAGCAGGCATTACCACCAACTCACTGATTAACAAGAAGACTTTCTCTCTTCCAGGGATACAGAAGAGGCTGTAGCCAATTCCATGACGAGCCCTCAGGTGGAAAAGCAGTACTCCCCAATACTCGCATTCAGTGTTTTCTGCATTCCAAAGAACTAATGGTCTTTCACACGCATCTTAAATCTCCATCTGGGAAATGCAGGACTAATTTCAAACTGTTCTTGCTTCTGCACTGAAGGATATTTTGTTCACCTCTCACCTTACACCTCAAAAGGTATATAATTGCCTATAATTGCCAGAGAAAAGGTGTATATAATGCGTGAGCAACTTGATACTCATACTGGCATTCTATATAAACGATTAGGGTTATCAAAATTGCTTACTTTACAATGCAGAGTTTATTTTCTGCTCTCAGCAGTTTATTGGAATTTTTATTATTGCAATGCTGAGAACCTGCTTTCCCAGTACAAGCTCCAGAAGAAATAAAGAAGAACCACTTAAAGAGGAGATCACACGGACAAAGGAACTTGAAATTACACTGATCACATGCATATTCTTCTCATTTTGTCTTCTGGAAGAATTCAATTTACTCTTTTCAGTTCAGACAAATGTCAGAGAAAAGATGAAAGGCATGAAGACAAACAGCATCAGCACAGCTCATTCACTGGTTAACACTCTCACCAGGTGCATCAGTATCAAGCAGGATACTCACAAGGAGACAGGCAGAACAGATTGCTCAGCATTTGCAGCAGTGGAGAGAATAAAAGCATCTGATGAAATACTGCATTGTAGGAACAGAATAACACAGAAGAGCTAGATCAGCATTTCACTGCAGAAGTACTCACATGTCCTGCTGCCCTAGAACCTGCAGTCATGCTACAGGGATTTTCTTGTATATATTATCACCAGATTAAATGGACAACATGCTCTTTATAGTGTCAGTGAGAAAAGAGTACAAAGTAAAGCAGCAACTCTTATTCATACACAGGAACACAGGAAATGCAGAGCAGAGAGTGCACATACAGATACATACCAGAGAAGGAGCTGAACAAGGCAGGAACAAGTGAATCCATCCAAGCAGTTTGGTAAGACTTGGACACTGAATAGAAGATGAACAAAGGACAACTGAGAAGTGCTTCCAAGGCTAAGATCTAAGCCCAGAAACTTAGCAATACAGCAAAGTACACAAAAAGTATGCTGTGCAGGCAAACTCTGTGCTAAGTTAATGCATGAATGCATACAACAATAAGAAGATGACAAAAACAGATTTCACAAGGGACAACAAAACAAAGCACCTACACAAGTTTCAGAAATGCATATCCACCACTGTTAGCTATCTAAGGCTTATAATTCAACACACTGCAACTATAAAAATGCTAGGACTGTTCTTATCGCTGCTTTCACTCAAAGACAGTTAACACAATGTCACAGCATCAAAGAGTTCACTACAAATAACAAAAATATCCGTAAATTTATATTAATCAATGCAATGCTTTAACAAAGACAAAACAGTACAAACAGTACAAATTATGGTGGATTTTTAAGATAAGTCTCCATTAGAATATGGCAGAATATGTCAAAAATAGAACTACTTAAAGCTGTCAATGTTTGACTACAATAAAAATCATGAAAAACTGTAACAGACTACCAGACACTATAACCTTTAGCAGTGCAAAAAAACTGGAAGGTATTCTCTTCCAAACTATGAAACAGAAAGCAAACCTTTTAATACGTGCAAAGGAACATTTTTCCCTTCTCTTCCACTCACAAATAGAATAGAATAGTAGCTGTACCGTTGTAAACTTCTTAAGACTCAAGAATGTATGATAGGGCCCATGTCCCAAATCATCAAAAAGTACCCGCAAGGTGTGCAGGCCTACTAAGATCAAAAGTTCTTGCTGTGGCAAAAAAAAGAGATAAATCTCACTGGAAGGAAATTGGAGGTCAAATATACATATTTAACTGTGAAAGATGTTCTGGAATTTTTAGTGCCCCATCCCTGCAGGCATTCAAGGCCAGGCTGGATGTGGCTCTGGGCAGCCTGGTCTGGTGGTTGGCGACCTTGCACATAGCAAGGAGGTTGAAACTGGATGATCATTGTGGTCCTTTTCAACCCAAGCCATTCTATCATTCTATGATTTTCCCCACAATAACAGCTCAAGAGACAGAGCTACACTTTTCCGAGATGGAAGTAAAGCTAAGGAATCAAATATGCACAGCTGATTGTACCTTGAATATCCACATCTGATTCAAAGCAAAGAGCATCTCAGGTACAAACTTTATTATACAAATAAGGTAATCCCCAGATTCTCCAATCAGCCATTTAAGTGAAAATACCAGAAACGGTCCAATTAGAATCAAAAACAGCAAAAACAGACAAGCACATATCTTTCACTGATTCTTAGTTTTCATTCTCTTCACCCCAGTGATGGCAGGCTGATAGAAGGAAATATACATCCACCCCATAGTCTTTCAATACAAGTAAATACAAAAAAATTAAGTGTTTATTGGAAATCTGCATGAAGGCACAGATGAGCTTGATTACAGACACATTGTAACAATTACAAATATATGTAAACACGTTGAGATATACAACAAAGCAGTAATACAGCTAATACAGGAATAAAATGTAATCTGTTAAAAAAACAACAACAAACTTCTGTATCGGAGGTTCTTTCAGTTATAAGATCTGATTCACACCAACACAGTGTAATGTTTTTAAGTCACCACTTGGATTCACACTCAACAAATCTGCACTTTGACTGTTGTTATTAACTGATGTATTTATAAACTGGATCCAAATTTGAACAGGCTTCCTTCCCTAGGAGCAGGAAAACAAAGGAATAATCAACTAGACACGCATCCAACCTAGAATAAGGCTTCAGAGATTCCCTAAACACGTAAGAGCAATCACCGATGTACTGAAATTAAATATAAGCTTCAGAAAAGCTCAAGGACGTTAGTTCCACTTTTACTTGCATTTGAGGAAATTGCTGAATTTCTGCAGGAAAGGAACAGTCTACATCTGTCAGGTGATTTTTTTCTTCCTCCACAGGAGGCTTAGATTTCATCTGAAACACCTGCCAAAACAAAAGTCAGCAATCACAAACTAAAGTGCCTTGGACAGCTTAGGCTTTACCACTAGAACAAAATGCCTTTGTTTACAGATACAACGTTAATTCATATAGTGAGAAAACTCACCTTTGCAAGTAGAACACTACTTCCAATATTTCTGTGGAAAGGGGAATCACTTTTTTTTTTTTTTTTTTTTTTTAATTATATACCAGAACCAAAAAAATAAAAAAAAAAAAAAAAAAAAAAAAACAACTGCGACACAGCTCTTTGAACAATGTTGTGGTTCAGGCCTAGCCAAAGAGTACTCTGAGCAGCAACTTACTACAGGAACACACAGTTTTCTCAACCTCAACCATCTGGCCAACTCTCCACTCCCCATCTACAAAAGCTTTATAACCTTTGGAGCCCAGCTGCAGTGAAGAAAGACTCCTGTCTGGGTAATATATGCTGAAAAAAACCTAGCATAGCTACATTTCTACTGACTCTGCAGCCACATCATCCCAACGTAAAGATGAGGTAGTACTTTTCTTTGGAGCCCAACTAGTTGAACAGGAAAGGAACAAAGATTATTCTCCCTACTGTAGCAGCTGTCTGTTAATGCAGCACCAAATTTCTGCATTTTCCCCCTCTACTTCAGGGCACATTACTAATGCAAGCACAGGAATAGCTTCTTAAAAGAGAAATCATATTATGAGCATACAATCCCACCTGAACTAAGACTGAATCATAAAGGCCACATTATGGCACACTGAGTGGCTTTCTCCAATCCACAAAATGGCAATGTCTCTTAACCTCTATTTGTACTGGGACTAGTAATTTTTATCCAAAGAGCATACGAAAGATCCTGAGCACTTATTACAGTGAAACGCAGACTAAAAAAAATACAGAAAAATAAAAATTAACAAGTCTAGTTCAAACCCAAAAAAGATTGGGAGAGAAATTCACCTCATTTTAGAACTGAGGAAACCAGATTGTCTCTATGAATACAGTTCATTTGGAACTTATGGGCCTTGTTTTCCCTCCCTTGAAGAAGGCAGTTCCTTCCCCTTAAGGGAGATTGCTGCAACGTAAGCAAGATTTCAAAGCTTACACTAATAAGCCTTCTGTTTCTTTATGAGATGGCTTGAACTGGAGAAATATGCTCTGCATAGTTCATACTCTGTAGACTCCCACAGATCAAAAAGAAACCACTTGCTATGACTAAAACAGAGGAAACACTGGAAAAAAATGGAATAGGATTAGAACTTATACTGCCTGTAAAACTAAATATTAGAGGGGGAAAAAAAAAAGAAAAAAAAAAGAAAAAAAAAACCCAAACCACTATAAGACTTTAAAGAGGTCCCTGGATGCATCCTCTTAGTAAGCAATAACTAATATTGAGAATGAAAGACTGTGACCTTTGCCAGCCAAAACCAGCCAAGGCTCCATGGTCAGCTTCCATATTTAACAAAATATATGGAGTCTAAATTGTTTCCTGTTAACAGTGCAGCTTGCACAGATTCCAGGAAATTCCAACATTTTCGTTGCTTCCAAGACTGTACTTTTCATTCAGTTGAAGTGCACTGAAGTTCCACTCAGACAGATGGATTCATGAACCTGATTTTAACAGGACAAGGAGTCCTGATTCTAACAGGACAAGGAGTCCTGATTAGCTCTGGTACAGCAAGACAGACGTTACTGTCTTTGAACGTTACTTTCTTGGGAATCTCTGATAATCCTTTTTGACCTTGGGAATATGCTCTTAGAGGAGTAGATATAATTAAAACAATCTTATCTGGCTTTTAGCTGGAAGACTATCTCCGAACAATCCCATCTCTTCTTCCAAAGAACTCCTCTGGAACAAATTCTGGATAAAATGAACTCAATGCTCTACAGAGATCAGCTGCATTCCAGTGTCGAAACCAGATCCCTTGAGAGAAAAAGTAAAAAAGAAAGCTGTTTGGTTGTCAGAGAAGTAAGTACTGCTGAAACAGCCACAAGATTTATTTATTTATTTTAAACCTTCAGCTATAAACAGGCACACTCACAAAATGTTCATCACGGCTAAAAGTTGCTTCTGTGACCTTGCACAACTCGCGATGATGCATCGTGTAACCCACAGGCATCATAAATGATGACAACAGCAGAAACCTACCCGGATGCTTCTGAGATAAAATAAAGAAGCTAAGCCAGACCTCTCTGTCAAAGGAGTTTCTCTAGCCTATGGAAGATTCTCACAAAATCACCACTGCAGAATGATAATTCATTATTATAATTCACAAAGAAAACTGAAAATCCATTTACATTTATTAGGACATGGTTGTGCACAATTCCTTATCTTCTTCAAAAAGACTACAAATAGAGCTTAACACTTCTCATTGCAAGCACAAGTTTGTTCAACGTTCTTAATTAGGTAAGGCCAATTTAGTGGCTTGTTACATTTTCAGGATTTAGTATACATTTGGCAGTTCTTTACTTTCATCTGGTAACAGTCCCATTGGAATAATACGGAGAGTTCACTAAGACACTTCATAACAGCAGCTGAATTGAGTTACACAAATTCAGTTTTGGAATATGCATCAAATGTTATTCGAGGCAAATTTCTATTTTAAGGTCCTTATACAACATTATCAAAGGCCTTCCCCCACCCCCAGCATTTATACTAGTACTACTATTGGCTCGTACTCCATAGAGCCATACGGCCAAAAATCTCAAAGCACTTCAGAAAGGAGGACACCATTTTCAACAGTGATATGATCAAGCTGGAATCCTGCTTATAAAAGAATATATATTTTTTATTTCTCTTCAGCTTACAAAAGCAATTCTACCTATCTTGACCTTAGTCTCACCTCTGACTGCCTGTCATCTTCTCACATGCAATCCTACCACTGATTCAGGAGCTGCGTTTAATGGTAATGCTCACAGCTGCATTTCCTCTGTGGAAAAATGAGCACCTGCCATGGGCAGTTATTTTCAGATGGAAGCACTGGTCGAATTGTAGATCTGCCACAATCTTGAGTATCACTTTATCAGAAAGTCACCGTCATAACTAAAGTAATTTGATAATGCACTTGATCCCATACTGGTTTAACAAGTGTAATAGGCTAGGTATGCATTTCTCTAAATTCTCTATGAGCCGAAACTACATAGATAGAATGAATAAATTCTAGTTTTGCCATAAGCTGAACCTTTTACAACACTGTTTTAACTTACTACTTTGATTTAGAGCACTGATTTTATGAAGATATTCAACCTTCAACTCTTACTGAATAGTTGAGCGGCAAACATGGAAAATACATGTACAAGTCTTACTATACTACCAGAATGCTGTACTTCCTTCTTAAAAGTGTCCTTAATAAAGCATAGGCATGTCAAACAAATTTTTGTAAACAAAAGATAAATTACTCACGTTCTGCTCTGATTATAGCCAGATACATATTCTCATAAAATAAACATTCTCTTGTCATTTTCCATGGCCCACATATAGATGAGGTAAACCACTTGAAATCATCAATAATATATAAACCTCAGTACTCAACAGGAACCTCAGGAAAAATAAAACTGAGCAAGATGTCAATACCAAGAAGTGACACTTTGTTCCACTGCAAAGTGAAACCAAACAATTTATTTGTGCTAAATGAATGCAAAGAATGTATTTGAAACATACTTCTTTATACATTGTACCGGCTTAGGCTGCTAAATAAGCATTCATTAGTGCCATGTTGTGCTACTTTCTTGTACTCTGTTTCTATCAAGTAATACAACATTTTTGGCTGTCATGCCAATATATTCCTATATGCTCATGGTACATCTTGTTATCTAACAGACTTGAACATTTCAAATACTTGTTCGATCTTTGTTTTAGGGAAATCACAATTAATATATTTTAACAAGGAAAAAATAATCAGCTGTTTTCTACAATCATGTTGCCTTCTGCAGCAAAAAAATCAAAGAGCACACTTCAATCAGCTATCAGTAACCTGTGGGCAGGACCACACTTAGAGCT